GGGTCCTTATATAGACAGGTGTGTGGCTTTCCTAATCACGTCCAATCAGTATAATCAAACGCAGCTGGACTCAAATGAAGGTGTAGAACCATCTCAGGGATGATCAGAAGAAATGGACAGCACCTAAGTTAAATATACGAGTGTCACAGCAAAGGGTCTGAATATTAATGACCATGTGATATTTCAGTTTTTCTTTTTTAATAAATCTGCAAAAATGTCAAATTCTGTGTTTTTCTGTCAATATGGGGTGCTGTGTATACATTAATGAGGAAAAAAATGACCTTAAATGATTTTAGCATATGGCTGCAATATAACAAAGAGTGAAAAATTTAAGGGGGTCTGAATACTTTCCGTACCCACTGTATGTAAAGTGAGTCAGAAATCACCAGGCTTTGCATACACAGGACAGTCAAATTGTCGTTATGAACTATTTCTCAAACGTTTATACATACAATCCTAGGTTTGCCAGTTTTTAATCACTAGAACAGATTGAGAAATCAAAATGTATAAATAAGACAACAAAAGTTTTGTAATTGAGGCTGATCTCCAGTCATTGCAAAGCTGTTGTCATAACCTATAGACAATGAATGAAGGATTTATTCAGGCTAAAAATCTGCAGATATTAAGGCTGTAATTGTGCTGATGGAGCTACATCTCACAAACACCCACATGCTTAGGATTTTTCAGACTTGTCTTTCATTGTCTTGCTTCTAAACTTTGATGGATTAAAGAGTACCTATTTCGGATTAGCATAATTGAAAAATTTTAAATCACAACAGAAATTCTCTGAAGACCTTTATTTGAGTGAAATGCCTGCTGTAGTGCCAGTTTTTGTCTTTCTGTTAGGATTTGAAATCTCTTTCTTCAAGCCAGTGCAACAGGTAAAGAGTTGCAGTTCAGTTAATCTCTTCCTCGTGTTCATAGATATAATTGAGGCCTTTAGTCGGATTAAAACAGCTTGGTTCATGTATGTGCATCATATATGTGTGTCTGTACATGTACTGTAGTGCACGCTGCTGCTTATGTTTCTGTGGTGGTGTCAGCTGATCGTCTGGCTATTTGCCAAGCCTCCTGGGATCTGTATCTAGAAGGCAAGAAAATCCAACTGTTCAAAAAAGTAGAAGCATTTTACACGCTGTAATTGGGTGTTAATACCACTCTGAAAAAATATGTAAACTAGGAATTCAAACTCATTAAATTTTTTTTTTTTTTTTTTTTTTTTTTTTTTAATTGAACAATTTAATCCAGTCTTAGTGGTACACTGAGAACTATGTTGAAGGAAACACATTCAGATTAGAACTGGTGACTTCTCAGTCTGCAGTGTTTGTGCTTTTGTTTTATTAAATTCTGGCCTTGAATGAAGTTGTAATAGGTCTATACTCTGACCGTTTATTGTGTACTAGAAACCTTAGTTTTAGTGACTCATGCATATTACCAACAAAAATGGTGATTGTAAGTGAAGCCAAAGAAAAAGGTATAATAGTTGTAAACAGTGATGTTGTTTTATGAGTGAGCAGTCACTTAAACATTTCTGAACTCATGCATCTGTATTTCAAGTTTTAACTGTATCCTACATTTGACCATCTTAGACCTCTAAGGCTTAAATTGAAGAAAAATGGTTTTCTTAAGAATTATTTTAGATTTATAATTAAATCCTAGAAGACAGATGTTTCACAGAATGCAACTTTATACCTTTGTGATTAATAATATGAGGTCGTCATTACTGAACACAAAACACTTGATCAAAACCAAAAATGGGTTGAATCTTTTCTTGACACCAGTACATTCAGCTCTAGTCTGTTGGTGGTGTTCTCTTGTTTTCATTTCTTTATGGAGGAAAGGATAATAAATGCATTTACACTGTAAACTAGACACATACTTGGCTAGGGGCTCTCATTTAAGTAGATATGGCAGTTTTATACTTGATTTAATAGTGGATTGAATTTTTAAAAATGTGCTGGTTGAAACAGCACTTTTGAGACATATTTGCAGTGAATCACCACATTTTGTCGTATCACACAGCCAGTAGGTTACTGAATGTGATAATACAAGCAAAACGGATGTAGCTATACCTACTGAGTAGAGCTAGCTAGCTGGCTCATTAATGGGTCATCGCATATCTGCAAATTTGTAATTGGCATTACTTGGATAGGTTGACCACATATTTGAACTAAATGGTGTTAGTGGTGGTGGGGACTATCTGCGGTGGAAAACGAAGCACCTGGTACCACAAGCAAGTAATGCTGAGTAGAGTAGAGTCAAGTTGTGCTGGTACCAGGAGGTTGAAAGAGGGCTTATTACCCTGACGACTGATTTCAAGATGACACATGTATCTGAACTGTTAGAGAGATTCTAGTTCTTCATGGTTGGAGTAGGTAGGTAGAGGGGAGGTGCAGTTTTGTGTTCCCTCATTCCTGATGAGTGAGTCTGGAATGCACAAACATTCCAGAGCAGTTTGCTCACACGTCATCAGCTTTTCAGGCCTCAGCGGTGCCCGGTTAGATGGTGCATATTTGTTCTTTTTTGGAGTTTGTATTTTGTGTGCAGAGCAAATTTCTGACACTAGTTCTAATGTGTGCATAAATATATTTCTTAGTGATTCAAGTTGAGGGCCCATATGTTGCAGTAAAGTGAATTTTGGTGCTTTTGTGTCAGCTGAGGTTTGTAATAATTGGGCATCACTGGGTGTGTGTTGGTTTACTGGCAGTGAATTTCAAGCTGCTGTGAAGATTGTTGAAGTACTAAAAGAGAAAGGAATGAGAGCAGTTAGCTTGGCGCTTAATTCACATTTTCCACACCTGTTTTTATAACCAGACTTGCAAACATCTAGTGACACTCAAGGTAACTGCCGTCCTCTGCTAGCTCCTCGCTGTGTAGAAAAAAGGTGCCAACGAGCTTTTCTGTATCACACATTTGTGCAGGGGGGGTCACAGAACATTTGAAATGTGCATTGTTATGTTGATGAGTTCCACCTGCTTCCATGTTGTTTTAGCATGATATCTGGTGAACAGGCAGTCCAGCAGCTGACACTGTAAACTGGGGATGTCAAGTCCCAGAGACAACATTTTGAAAAGCTTGATGTTTAGCTCTAAAAGGGTCTTCCTGGATGTTCATCATAAGCACTGCCTTTAAAAACACAAGGCTCTCAGGTATCGGTTGGGTGATGGAATACAGTCCAGGATGGCGGGTCTGAGTATTGGATCCCCTGGCAGCCATGGCACTCAGAAAACCCTTTGGCGATTCATCTCAGCCAAGGGTCTCCCCTGTTCTGGTCTGGACTACAGAATCACTGCCCATCACACACCATAGCCTGAAAATCCACATTTCTGCTAGGATTGTGTGCTTAATGTTGTGCTTGACTTGCCAGCAGAGTGCTTTGTAAATCATTTTAAGTCAGTCAAATTAGGACGCTCCTTGAGGATTAAATTTCAGTAGTGAACAGAGCTTAAACCCGTAAAGTTGACAGTGTTTGTGTTGCTTAAACTATTGTGCAAGATGAGAAACTGAGGAAGTAAATGGATGTAGAGACTTCATTTACAGCAGTCACAAACTGTGACTTTTGTGTGAGTCAAAAGCCCAAGTTCAGTTTTGCTGAACCAAAACTAAATAGTGGATGTAACAGTTTGTTGTTTGTGATATTTTGCTCCTTATTTTGAAGGAGCCAATTGACGACACTGACCAAATTCTGTCAGTGGCACAGTGATATGAATTGAGCATGCACAGTTGTAAGACTAAGAGGCGAAGACCAACTGTTCCATGAAAGTGATGGAGTGGAAGTGTTTCCTTTTGCCAAATGTGAGCTGAGTTAGTAACTTGAACAGGCACAAGACAGGTGAGTGTAAGCCATAATCCTTTGTGTAGTTTGGCTCAAAACTGACATACATGTATGTGTTTGCCTCATCATGAAGCACATAGAGCAGTGTGTAGGACTGCACATGAAGCTGCCTTTTAATAGAAGAGGGTTGAATGGTGCAAACTAGTTACAATGGTACAATGCTAGTTGGTACAAACTAGCATTTGGTCAGTGACTTTTAGATTTTCTCTGTGTGTTTGAACAGCAGCCCAAACCGCTCTGAAATGGCATCATTGTGGTGTCTTAATTAGTTTTTGACAGTGAGTCCTCCTCTAAGAGAACAGATGCCCTCTGAACAGTGTCAGATTTCAGCACATGCTATAAGAATGGCTAAAGTCATTATGCAGGAGGTGGGCCTCCTGGTTCTGATCACAGTTCCCAATACAGCACAGTCCGATTTATGGTATGGTGTTGGGCCAGAAAAAAGCTTACCCTCAAGCCTGTTCCTCAGTTACCTTGCTCTGATTGATATGTTGACACATTTTGAGAATCCATAAAGCATACCAGTACTTTGGAACAAGACAAGTAAAAAAGAAACCGCTGAGTAAATTAGTAATATGAAGGTTCATAAGTGAAATACCTTGTTGAAATACCTTGGTTTCAGTGGTGGAGTACTACCATGGATGGCTGAGTTTTAACATAAAAATGCCTTTCAAGTATGCTCTTTGTTTTGTCCCTACTATTAACACAGAGGAGCCTCACTGTTTCCTGATCTCCTTCGTTTTTGCAGCATTGCCAGAAGTCTGTTCTTCTCTTTCAGTGTTTATTATGAATCTGCCAACAAATCAAAGACATTGTCACAGTGTCATAAAATATGAGAGGGCATTTGCCTTTATATTCTTCTCCTTGCACTGATCAAAATTCCATAATAATACATAATTATAATAATAATTCCATAATATCCTATAATAGTGTTGACCTTTTTTACCATTATTTAATTAAAATAAATGATCCAGTATTTTCTGGAAATATTACAGTACCTTTTGAATCCTGCAGTCTGTTTTTGACTTTGCACCTTTTTTAAGTAAACATGTAAATCTGAGCTAAATGTAAGTGCAGGCAGTGGCTACTTGTAAGTGGATCACAGTAGTGTAATGTTAGAAACTAGTGTAGATGATGGCTGGCGATACGAGTTGCTTTGAGTCACAACAGTCTCGTAAACTGTGACATGAATCGTTGCAGTCTATGTGGGCCTAAAATATAGATGTATAATGTGTTAACTGTTGTGCATTTGCCAAGGAAAAGAAATCCTTGGTTCACAGTTTTATAACTGGAAAATGTGTTTACAGTTAAATGTGCACTTTACATAATTTATATTGAAGGAAATAGTAATGTTATCTCACTGGTTAAATGAACATGAAATTTAATTTCCCAGGATAAATTCAGTGAAATGATTTATGCAACATTGTTGATGATTTAGTTACATCAGATGAAAACCAATTGAAATAAAAAAATAATACAATCAGGAGGCTGGTGCTAATATCCAGCCCTGTGTTGACACATTGTTCATGCCATTCCTGTGCTCATTTTTTCACCACCTACAAATTAGTCAGATTTCCAGATTGTACTGTAGTGGTGGAATTTGTGCCACAAATGAGCGGTAGAATTCTTCTACATGAGGCTGAGAGGTGAAACTATGACAGCACAGAGAGCCGTCGTGCCTGAAAAGCCTCTGTGTGCTCCTCGCTGTTTTGGTACACTGTTCCTTTAATAGCATGGCACACATAATCACGTATTCCCCGTTAATCCCCATCCCCTGTTCTAAGGCTTACAGAGCTGCTCAGTCCACTTCTAACCAGCATGTCACTGAGCCAGGCACCAGCTTACCCTGCTGCAGCGTAAACTAGGAGCAGGGTTGAAGCCCATTAAATTGTATGTATATATTTAGGGGATTATGCTGTTAAATGCATAATTGAGCAAATTAAATCTTGGTTGACTGCTATTTAAAATGGAGCCAAAATAATTTAGAGCCCAGGCAGATCATTAAAGGTAGTCTTTATTTTCAGGGCTGTGGTTTTAGATTCAGTGTACATGTGCTCTTGTGGTGGCCACCTCTTGTATTGTTCCATATATGGTAGTGGCAGTCACATTTGAATGTAAACAAGACTGTATCTAATTAAATACTGAAAAATATATTTAGAACACCAAATATGTCTGCAGCATATGAAGATGTTTTTGATAAGTGATAACTTTTAAATCTGGTTTGTTTACATCAGCATTTTGGTAGTGATAGCCAGTGAGCCTCTTATGAGTGCTTCTCAGTGGCTAAATTTTTGTAAGCTCATTTAAGTGCACTTCCATCATGCAGGTTAAGACCTAGTACCAAACTGTACCCTTTGCTTCTACTCAGTGATTTCTGTTTTTGTGTAAATAATCAGTTAGGAAACATTAGGGCAAAAGAGAAAGACCATAAATGGTGAATAGAGGCAAGGTTTCTGTATACCATCACCTCAGTGTCTATGCTGGAATGTAGGGAGTAAGCCAGTCTGTAATTACCTCTGGGCCTACCTTTTAGTCTCTGATTGGCTAGCAGAGAGCAGAGACCTTGGTTGTAACTAATAGCACACTCTCGGACTCCTTTAGTTGAGCAGAATCTGTGCCAGTCGCTGGAAAAGCTCAGAGTCTGGCGTGAAGGGAAGGGAGAATATTTGTGGTAGTGACTGAAAAGAATGATCAGTTCCAGCAACCCCCCCAACACCATCAGCCCCATGCATCTACACATCTCCCACCCTGGGAAATATAGCAAGGAGGCCTCACCTCTCAGGGTGCTTGTGCTACAGGGCAAAAAAATCAGGATGGCACATTCTTCAGGTCCAACCATGCATGTAATCCCAAAAAGGAGAGTGTGTGTGTGCATACAACTGCATTCACCAAGTAGCAATGTCATATATTCTCAATGTCTTGTTTGACAGAAGGCACTCTGTTAGTGTCACCATCTCTCCTCACTCTTCCTCCATTTTAATATCAGACTTGTTGCACTGTCTCTTGCGCTGTGATATATACGGTATATATCTTCGTCTTCCTGTCCAAGTCTGTTAAGTGAGTGTAGATGGTTATCATTCTTGGAATGTAAGACAAAATCTTACTGCTGGTAGAGAAGCTCAAAGACTTGAGATAATTTACAGACATGAAGCAGTTGTTGTCTCTGCCTTCATTGTTTCAGATGTTAAAACTGTCAGGTTATACCATGCCTTGTTGGTGTGGTAGATGGTGACAACAGTGAGAGAGCTTATTTGCCTCTGCTAGTTTCTAACACATCTTATCTTTCTCAAGTACAGTGCCTTAACAAATACTGAGCCTAGCAAGTAGCTGTTACTGTATTTGTCCATTTCTGTTCTAGGAGTTTGCTGCTCTAACAAAGGAGGTGAACGTGTGCCGGGAACAGCTTCTAGAGAAGGAGGAGGAGATTGCAGAGCTGAAGGCTGAGAGGAACAACACACGGGTTTGTAGCACATGCTGGTGCACACACAGTATATCTCAGGTTACAACAGACAAGTATTATGTATTTAAACAGGACACAATCGCCACTGCCCACCCTGAATTATGGTTTGGTTGGCCCGTGACTTCTTTGGAAATCAGTGTCCTATTTTGGCGTGTTGCTGTTTGGGGTATAATGGTTGTCATAACGCCGGTTAATTAATCAGCTGCCAACCTTTAATCCAAACTTCTGTTGTAAGTTATGGAAATGGAAAATTGAAATGATGGGATGATAGAGCAACCACTAGCACTAAATTTCATCACAAACAGAGCTGTTTGTGCACAGCAGTAGCAGGACCAATCCTCAGGGATAGAATTCCCTCTAATGTTGTTGTTGCTGCATGCTTGTGCACGTGTTTAATTCGTAGTACCATAATTTCCGGACTATAAGCCGCACCCACTAAATGTAAGACAAAAAAACATTTTGTACATAGCCGCAGGTGTCCACGTTGTAACATGAGATATTTCGACAGCCAGATCGATCGCCTGTAACTTGAAGCGGCATCATATGCATTTCGTCGTGTGTTGTCCATGAAGAGGGTGTGTGCATGAAGTGACAAAAGTAGCGGCTTATAGTCAGGAAAGTACGGTAGATGTTAAAGAGCCCATGGCATGCTTCTCCTTGTTTATGGATTTATCTACATTGTTAAAACAGTGAATTATCACCTTAGACGTGACCAAAAGCTCAAAAAATTAGGTGTATCTATGTTCTAGTATTTCTATGCAAAAGCAACTTGGTTTATACATGTTTCAAAAACTCTCGCTCGCAATACGTTTTTCTAACAAAAAGTATTGCGTGATAGTTTTAGGATTTCCTTGAATGGTCAATCTCCAGGCAGTTGCGCGTTCATGTGAGCTTGCCTGACATTCACTGGTACCATTGTTAAAGGTGGAATTTTTTTTACCTGCACGTGCTTTTGTTGATATATTTTCCCACCTGCTGGTGCACTGTGATCAGAGGATGTGGAGAAGAATACAGGGCCTGAAGCTACTGCATGAATGTAATTGTGTGGGGACTCGCTATTTTATCTGGGGATCGTTTGGGGAGGCGACAGTGGTGCGGTGGGTAGAGCAGTCGTCTCCCAACCAGAAGGTTGAAGGTTCGAATCTCAGTGCCTGCAGTCCACATGTCGAAGTGTCCTTGGGCAAGACACTGAACACATACAACTCGTCATATGCTTTCTGTTTGGCCATTGCCACCTCCCTCTTCACTCTAGGCTGCAATTTGTAATCCTGTCTACTGTCTTCAGTCCTTTCTACGTCCCACTTCTTTTTAGCTAGCCTCTTCCTCTGAATGCTGTCCTGTACTTCCTTGTTCCACCACTATGTTTCCTTATCTTCTTTCCTCCTTCCAGATGACACACCTAGCACCTTCCTACCTGTCTCCCTGATGACTTCTGCTGTAGTTTCCCAGTCATCTGGAAGTTCTTCCTGAGCATCCAAAGCCTGTCTCAACTTCTGTCTGAATTCCTCACAACATTCTTTCTTCTGCAACTTCCACCACTTGGTCTTCTTTTCTGTCTTTCCTCTCCTTTTCTTCCTGACCACCAGAGTCATCCTACACACCAGCATCCAATGCTGTCTGGCTACACTTTCTCCTTCCACCACTTTGCAGTCACTAATCTCTCAGATTGCCTCATCTACATAGAATGTAGTCTACCTGCGTACTCCCACCTCCACTCTTATATGTAACTCTATGTTCCTCCTTCCTCTGGAAATAGGTGTTAACTACAGCCTTTTCCATCCTCTTAGCAAAGTCCACCACCATCTGTCCTTCTAGGTTCCTTC